TAATGTTATTATTAATTCCAAGTTTATTCCAACTTGCAAGTTAAACTTTTATTACATTTGGCGAGCCATGTTATTATTTTCTACCACCTTTTAAGCTCACTGCAAGGGCAATCCAGTCTTCTCCAGATACATATGAGCTATAAAAGAGGACAAAATAACCAAACCAATTTTTGTTTTATTTTTTTGTGAGCGTTTTCGGCAATACGTCCAGGGCCAGGACGTGCGGGATCCTACAGAGGCAACCAGAGTGAGACGCAGTTTGTAAGCCGGCCATGCAGGCACGGCAACGTCCTAGCGAGGTGAGACCCGGCCAGGTCACAGCACAGCGGCATCTTCTCCAAGAACGGCAGGTACAGTTTATTTCCCCTCCCTTCCCGAATCCTGCAGCATGGCTTATTTTGGCATTTACAGAAATCTTACTCACTCACTAATATTTACAAATTCAGCAGGCAAAATATGAGCTACGAGGTTAGCTTGGTCCCTCTAGGACTTATTATCCATAGTAAGGGTAAGAAGCTCTTGAGAGAATTCTTGAAAATGAACTTTATTGTATATCGTTGTGTCATGCTTCTAAATCGTTCAGGAAATTTTTTTTTATCCACTCTGAATGGGAAAGAGATTAATTGACAGTAAATATGTGTCTCCCGTCTTTACCAGGTATGTTTATTTTGCGTATGTCCATACATCATTCATGCGGGTCTACAAGTTAAAAGATACTGGGCCCATTCCCCTTCTTACTTTGCCTTCAACACATGCACATTTACCTAGGTCTTTTAGTATCCATGAACATGCAATGGCAGGGTTAGGTCTATATGAGGTCATTATGGTTTCCTTAGTGGAATTCATTAACACTGAACTCAAATCAAGTGTTATTTTGTATCTGGATTCCAAATTATTGACTCTCGGTACATACTATATACATGGCTAGGTGTTGCTGTGCATCATTCAATGGACACAATGGGCAGGAATTCCCTCTGCACAAACTGACTGCTCTCTGACATAAAAGAGGCTCAATTTAGGTTTTGTTCTCCCATAAATCCCTGTATACCAAGAGAAAGATAGGTTTTCCCCAGCCACAGTTCCACTCATCACATAGGATAATTGGGACTTCTCAATCAACTAATACACTGGCTCGGGCCATTTGTATACAGCCTGGCTCACAGTAAGAATCTATTATTATTCTATTATAGGTTATAGTATTCTATAATATATTCTATTATCCTGCAGCATGGCTTATTATGGCATTTACAGTTACAAATGTTTACTGTAATGAGAAATAAATGGAAGACTTTCATTTATTTCTCCCTACAATAAACATTTGAAACTGTAACTGCCATAATAAGCCTATCAATCATCTGGTCATTACATTGATATAATGTTAGAAATACACAGAAAGCTCAATATCATTGTCAAAAAGTTTTTTAGTTTTTTTAAAAAAAGTGTAAATTAATAAAAATTCTAATAATGCCTTGGTATGAAATAGTAGCCTAATATATTTTATGAATGCATTTATTTGGGGGGGAAGGATCATAATTGTGAACTGGCAACATCCAACATTAGATGAGGGGATTATTTGGGTGCCTACCCTGACTGAAAGAGACATTAGGCACCATAACCACTGTTGTGTGCTACAGTTGTTATGGTGCTATAAATCACTGGATGCAGTTTGCATGACATTGTCTTGAGATAAATAGGATGTTACTAAAAGTTATAATACATAGAAAATGTGCAGCAAAGACAAAAGAAAACTGCTACAAAGATTTTGATTGCAGACAGATATTAAAGGACCACTGTAGGCACCCAGACCACTTCAGCTTAATGAAGTGGTCTGGGTGCCAGGTCCAGCTAGGGTTAACCCATTTTTTCATAAATATAGCAGTTTCAGAGAAACTGCTATGTTTATGAATGGGTTAAGCCTTCCCCTATTTCCTCTAGTGGCTGTCTCATTGACAGCCACTAGAGGCGCTTGCGTGCTTCTCACTGTGATATTCACAGTGAGAGCATGCCAGCGTCCATAGGAAAGCATTATGAATGCTTTCCTATGTGACCGGCTGAATGCGCGCGCAGCTCTTGCCGCGCGTGCGCATTCAGCCGCATGGAAGGAGAAGAGGAGGATCGGAGGAGGAGAGCTCTCCGCCCAGCGCTTTTAAAAAGGTAAGTTTTAACTACTTTCCCCTTTCCAGAGCCGGGCGGGAGGGGGACCCTGAGGGTGGGGGCACCCTCAGGGCACTATAGTGCCAGGAAAACGAGTATGTTTTCCTGGCACTATAGTGGTCCTTTAAGGAAAGGATTTAATTCTACCTAAATATTGCAATGAATAGATTATTAGCATATCTTTAAAGATACTCTATAGAGTCGGGAACACAAACAGGTATTCCTGACACTATAGGGTTAAACTAACTATTTAGGTTACCAGCCCTCTCTGATTGCACATGTGTATGTGTGTATATATAATATATATATATATATATATATGGCGTGTGTGTTTGTGCTTTAGGGTGCACACCCTAATGCAATAGGCTGCGCACGCCTATGCATGGGGATATGTGTGCAGAGGAAAAAGAGGCATCTGGTATTGCAGAAAATGAGGACCAAGGGGTAAACAGGGGAAACCTTGTACTGGATGGGTTTGATATTAGTGGTATTTCAGTATTAACCCCCCATATAATTAAACCAACAGCATCACCTTTTAGGGACCCTTTGTCCATTACACCAAGTGTTAAAAGCAGGGCATCTGCCACCCTGCAGACTGCTAAAATTCTACAGCAGCAAGATAGGAATAAAGTAATGAAACAGCTTGTCAAATTAAGATCCCTTTTTCCCCCATAGGACTGCAAAATAGATGAAATTTCAAATATGTCTAACTTTGAATCTGCAGTCAAACAATATATGGGCCCATTAATCGGGATCAAGACTGGTTCAAAGAGGACAAATGGGGGACAGAAGGAGACAGGCTTAGAGCAATCTCCAAATTGATAATCAGAGAAAGAGATTTAGACAGTCATTCACTCGCTGAAATGAAGGTACACTTACAAGATGGTCCTTGAGGTTTAGCCTTTAAATTTGAACAAGTGTACAGACTAACCCATCGCATACCACCAGACCAAACCCCGCTTGATCTACTGCAATACCTGATAAAAAAATTCACTTATTTAGAATTGATAGAGGAAAAAGACACTCTGGAAGGAGTTTTAACAATCATAGGAAAAGCTAGGCAAAATTTAATTAGGGAAGGTGTCACAGGACATCACAATGGATGGCAATTATATCTACCAATGAAGGAAATCAAGCTCTCTCAGAGATTCCATTCAGAGGTACTTATTAGTGCAACAAAAGTGGTCATAGACAGAAAGAGTGTAGAAGGAAAGGATGACTGAGGGATGGCATGCTTATCCCTCTGAGCCTTTCAAAGAAAGAATAGGTCAAAATGTATATGAAAAGACTGACCGAAATAATCCCCCGGATAAAACAGTTCAGGGACGCCATTCTTACCCCTTGCCTAAGACCAATCTATATGGTCCTGCGCGGGAGGCTCTGAGAATGAAGACTGTACAGGGAACAGTGACTAGCAATTCTAAAATGAATGAAGAGGGTGAAGTTCCTCTGATTTCATTTTTGGAATAACTATCACTGGATGACATGGTTCCTATTTGTAACACATTCATGGACAATGCAGGATGCCCTTATGTGAATGAAATTAAGGCAAGACAACAGACTAAGAATTGTACTAACACAGGAGCTTCAGTGATACTTACTGACCTATCAAGTCCCCCTTCTGGGGCAAAACAACAACATATGAATTTATTAACTTCATTTTTTGACTTAATTGCATAATCCTGGAATCAAGCTAGACACTTCAAAGGTTGCTCACACAAAAGGTAAACAATTGTGGGGTAGCTATCACAGCTGCCCAATTAAAGAAAGAATGATAGTAATCTTACAAGTCCCCAGACCTTTTTTTTTTTTTTTTAATTCTTTATTTTTATTGTGCAGGTGGGTACAGAGTATAGTCATGCGCCACAACAGCGTTCAATAATATGGTAACATAGTAAGATTAAACAGTGGCTTTTTAAAACTTGCACTTTTTGTTTAAAGGTATGGTAAATTAAGTAGTTTTCTCTATGCAATAACAATCTATTCGCGAGTATATATGCTTGTAGCATCCTAACTGCTCTGGCACGTAGAATTACTCTTATGAGAGTAAGAGTGATCTAGCAGGAACATGCTGACAATTGTGATAGAAAAGGACTGGTTACTCGCTGTTTGCCCTATTGCTCCAGAGGCTATTTCACTCATTGTAAGTTAACATGCTTGCAACCGGTGTGTCTCTGAATAAGTGCCTTAGAGTTAACGCTTGGTAGGTCACGTTATGGTGAAGTAACCAGGTATTAGACATAATAACAACAAAAGATAAAGCTTGAACTGATAGCATAAATGCCTATAGGACCTAACATGTGATGCTAGTGTCTATGTTAGGTCAAGTGTTATTTATGGGTGTGCGTATTGAGTGGCAACGTAAGGTTAATCATAAGCATTTGCATCAATATCTGTTACTATCGCTTTAGATCTTTAAGGTGAGACAGCTTAAACATGGTAAACCACGCTAAATGTGACAACACTGTTAGTCGTAATTATATATAGATGCGAAATCTGCATTGTATCTACTGCAGACAGATCTTATCTACAGTAACACAGGTTAGGTATAATGTTGAGTCTCATTATAAGTGTGATCGTATGCTGGCTTTGCATGTATAAGATAAACTCCAATTATAATGGTGCATGGCTTAAGAGCCTGTATGTAAAGCTATGTCAGCGTGAGGAGAAAATTAAAAAAATAAAAATAAAAATAAATAAATGTTAAAAAAGACATATCTAGCAAAAACATTTAAGCCTCAACTGGTGGCAAAGATAACTGGGTCAGTTAGCCATACAGCACTGGCAATGCAAGAGTGATCTGCCCTGGCAGTAAGCCTGGCATGCCAGTACATTCAAGCAGTCAGTCAACCAATTCCCTGGCTTGGCTGTAAGCTTCCGTGTGAAGACAGTTCATGCAGGGCTGCCAGTGGCCCGTCAGGCGACAGATGCGGTATAGTTGGTGTTTGCTGGTGCGTACTGTATCGTCTGGAGGGTCTGGGCTTCACACACCGGGCCTTGCTGATGTCTAAGGGATTACGTTTTGGTACCCTCACAGGGTGTCCCTTGCGCTGCAGCAGGGTCTTTTCTCCAAACGGGTTAGGACCAAGGTATTGCCGCTTGCGCCAGAGTTTCTGCTTTGTACTTTGTGTTGCCGCGTAAGGATCTCCTCTGTGCTGCTTGCTTTTATTGATTTGCCTGAGCCGTGTGTGTGGATGGCCCGGCGGGAAGCGAGGCTTCTTCACCTTCGGTGGCGTCGATCGGGCGCCATGGCGCTGGGCCGCTGACCGCCGGTTTGGCTGTAGTGTCTGCTCAGGAAGGTCAGTACTGTGTGGTGGGGCAGGTAGATATAGCCTGTGCTCCAGTTGCTTCCAGAACCTTTTAAAATGTCTGTGGATCCTCGCCAGGACATCTTGTGCAGCATCAGTGGGGCTTTCAGCTTCTGTAATTTCCGCCATCTTAAGTGAAGCTCCACGCTCTCGCTTTGCCCACGAGGCGGCCTGTGTTGCTTGGGCTTGCCGTGGATAATCTCCACTGGGTGGACCGGGATCTCCCCCACCGGTCCAGAGGGGGGGTAACGGGGCTTGCTCATATTGTGTGTATCGTCGGAGCATCTCTGGGTCAGGAGAGCGGCCGTCTCTCCCGCCCGTTGTGAGCTAGGCCGCACTGTCAGTCGCGGTACCAGCAGATCTTGCGCGGGTCTCTTACCCTCCCACTTCATACCCTCTGTGGCAGGGAGCTTATGTGAGTGTGGTATCGTTGTTCGTTTCGCTGGGTACCATCTTAGATCGCCTGTATCGCTATAGTTTAGCGGGAGCCCTTGAGAGACACGTCTCGTGGCCATGATGGTTAGGCCCCGCCCCCCCAGACCTTTTAACAAGGAATCCTTGAAAAAGGAATTTGACACACGCCCTATTTGTATCCATAGTGACAGTGCTTATGCCACCAGATCAAACTATCTGTGTCACGATTCGGGGAACCAAACACGCTGGCACACACACACACACACAAAGTGCCGTACCGGACCTTAGAGTGGCCGGGCTAAGCACACACAGAATAGTCAGGAAACAAGCCGAGTAAGGGGAAGCATAAGACAGAATAACGTGAAACAAGCCGAGGTCAAAGGGTAGGAGAAAGTCACAGAGTCAGATAACAAGCCAGAGAGTACGTAACCAGAAACACAAGTTCAGTATCAATACTAGCAAGCAAAGACCACAACAGGGCAGGGAGGAACAGGAAAGGTAAGTATTTAAACCATCAGGTTAATTCTGATTGGATAATTTCCAATCAGAATTAACAATCACACGTGGGAGATATCTAGACCTCCCACTGTGATTGAGGCACTGTGCCTTTAACGCCGGGTCAGGTGACTGACCCCGGCGTGTACAAACTTGGGCGGTCTCCCAGCGTGCAGCGTCATGTATGCTGCCGCTGGGAGACGTGGAGGGAACGGCGGGCGGCATCCGAGGCTGGAAGGATGCCGCTCGCCGGACCCAGGAGGGGGAGAGGACCGCGGACGGCTGGAGGGTGAGTGCCGCGAGCGGAGTGCAGCCTCCCCTCGCAGCCGCCCGCGGGATCCCGACAATCTGTCCCTATAGTATGTTGGGAAACTGGTTGGATGGGGATCAAAGCACCCCTCCAGTCAGCAGTTGTAAGGATAAACACTCATTTAAATGTACAATTGAATTTGTTAGCAAAGGAGGCTGTATTAGATGGAGATCAATGGCATTTACATGTAAAAGATATTGAGATAAAGCAAGCATGGGAGGAGCACTTCACATCCAAAGAACTAATTACTGATAGCTAAGATTGTTGATCAAGGTTCAGAAGTGACAGATTTAAAAGCAGAACTGAATAGGAATCCTAATCTTTCTCTTTTATTACAGAACCATCAAACACTTCAAAGCGGTTATTCTATAAAAGAAGGGTTGTTATGTTAAAGTATATCCATGCCCTAAGCAACAAAGGCCTATGCATCAGAGAGTGCCAGTTGCAGACAGCCCCTGGAAGTCAATACAGAATAGGTGCACTATGAAATATGTCCCCAGCAAATTGTAAAATTTTATCTACCCTGGGATGCAAATTGGGAAGAGCCCTATGTAATCCTATAAATATTGGGCAAAACATTTGTAAAAATGCAGAGTTATATACAAGTCAGTCCATGTAGACCAATGTAAATTATAGAAAGGGGCTTGTTCCCCAGGTACAAAGTTATCTGCTAAGAACGTATATGCCTTCTTGATCTCTTACAGATTTTTCCAAAAGTACTGAGACATGAATGTCACTCAACATGCTAAAACTCACCTGGAAATTAATGGAACAGCTTGTCACAGGCCAAAGCAACAACAGCTGTATCTATGCAAATGCAGCTCTATCTACCAAAGACTTAACAGAGGACAGCAGTTCCATATGTAGATGTGACATTTAATTTTGGGTGGGTGGTCAAGATTGTTTGGCTAAAGCAACGTGATTCTTTCTAGGGATTTTGGAAAATACAATAAGGGAAATAAAGAACATTGGGAATGTATATGGACTGGTTGAGGAAAACGGGAATGAATATGGACTGGATGGGTAAAATGGGTTGTAGATCTGAAGGGAGAAAATATTAATATCAAATTAAATGTTATGAAATGTTACTAACCCTATTTATAATGTTAACAGCAATCTTAGACAGTATCATATAACACAAATTATAGTGGATACATTAATCGTAAAGAGGATAAATTGGTGAACAGTAGGACACAATAGGGGTGGGGAAATGAAGGTCTTGTTAAATTTAGAGGAAAAGATAGAGTCTACAATCTTGACTCCTCTTGTGACAGATCCATCTGTCAAAGTACTATTTGCTGGTTCGTCTATTTTGTCTACATTCGTGGAATTACCTGCCCGTATGCCCCTGTTCGTTTATTGCAAGTTATAACGAATAAAATTACCGAATGGACAGCCACCCAGAAGAGAAGTGTGCTGCTGTTTAACCTATTGGCCTCAATTAGAATGTTGTGGTTAACCGCAGACACCTCTTCATTCTAACCGTATGCAGGGTGGTCGTTGTACGTTTTTATTATACCATGTAAAATGGCGGTTTGCCTCTATCCCTGGAGAAAATTGGATTTCTTCCTAATTATCTCCAGGATAGAGAGGAGGGATTTACTTGTGCAAAGGGTAGTGTTTATAACCGAGCCACTGTGATTGGCTACTGTACGTTATGTGTCCCAGTCTTCCATCTGGTCCCCTAGGGGAGTGTCCACCAGGTGGGAGACCTGCATAAATACCGGGCAGGTAGCCCTCATTAAAGCAGATTCCTGTTTTACCCTCAAGACGGAGCTTGGTCTCATGTTTGGAGGAATGGCTACTTGGAAGTATTATGTTGCCTGTTTTAGGAGAGAAGGAGTTCGAAGCATTCCCTTATACACCGTTCGGGAGTTTGGCGGTCTACAGCAACAGCGTCTGTGTCTCTAAAGGGGGAAGATCAACTAAGCGGCAGTTTCACTAATTTAAGCTGGGGTGTCTTAACAACTGGTGGCAAGCGACGGGATGATCTTCATCGACCAGAGAGACAACTACACATCCAGAATTAATGGAAATACTATATGAAATGCTGAAAAGAGCTACTCTTAAAGACCTGCTGGATCAAAGAGGCCGACAAGCCAGTAACTGGAAATGGATGGAGTACCAGGGGCTGAAGGAACCAATGGGCCCAGCACAATCGATAGAACCCCCGAAGAGGCAAGCTTTGACCGGGCGGTTAGAATCAGACTGGCACATTATGGTCCCAACCCGACTACAGAGATCATCGACTGGGTCATAGCAGCTGTGGAGGCCAACCTGCTCCGCCAAAGCGGCGCTGCAGCAGCTCAAATCCCAGAAACCCCGGTGGAAAAGAGAAAGGTGCAGTTTGCAGCATTTAAACCCCTCATTGAGACAGAAGGAGAGATTGATGGGTACCTTGCTGATTTTGAGAGGCAATGTGCGCTACTCAAGGTACCCGCAGAAGACTGGGTCACTATATTGTCCGGAAAGCTATAAGTGAAGCTTTTCAGGCCATTCCTGACGAGGAGATCAGGGATTGTGTTGCCATAAAAGAAGCTCTGCTCTCCAGGTATGCCGTTACACCAGAGGCATACCGGAGGTGGTTTAGAGACACTGCCAAACTAGCCGGGGATTCCTACGTTGAATGGGCATGTAGGGTACACCGCACAGCAGCTCACTGGATGGCAGGGTGTCAAGCCGTATCCGGGGAAGAGGTGCTACAGATGTTCCTGCTGGAACATTGCTTTGAAAAATTATCCCCAGGAGTCAGAGAGTGGGTTCGGGACCGTAAACCCTCCACCCGGCATGAAGCAGCCCGCCTGGCAGACGAGTATATGGATGCCCGTAAACTGGACAATGCTATCAATAAGAAGCCTGCCAGAGCGGAGTAACGACCAGCAGCTACCGACGCACCGCACACCAGCACCCCCTCCAGCTACTAACTATCCTCAGCCACCCCGGTTCAACTCACGGGACTACTCTCAGCCCATCCTGTGTTTCGGATGCAAGCAGCTAGGACACAAACGGGCGGAGCGTCCGCTGAATACAGTGAACCAAGCCCAGTCCTGGAGGAGACCCACCAGCGGAAACCAGCGCAGCACTCTGCCTGCTGCCCACTGCGTAGAGGAGGAGGAATGTTGGGGCGTCCTGCATGAGGTAGACCCCGTCCAAGCCGCCCACCGGGACAATAGACAACAGCACCTGCAACTGGTTAAAGTGAACGGGAAGGAGGTCAGTGGTCTGTGAGATACCGACGCCACCATGACCTTGCTCCAAAAGCACTTGGTATCTGAGAACCAGCACACCGGAGACACTGTGGCTGTGAGAGTAGCCGGGGCGCTGTGTTCCGCCTGCCCATTGACCAGGTACATTTGGATTGGGGAGTGGGCGCTAGGCATGTGAATGTGGGGATCATGAGGGATTTGCCAGCTGACATCCTTCTTGGAAATAATTTGGCCCCCCTTGTTTCTGCATACACTCCGATGGGTCCTGCTGAAGTTAACGCTGTGACGACCCGTGCCCAGACCCGTGCTGCCGAGACCGGTCCGCCTGCTGCTGAGGCCCAAGTAAAACTCTCTACCCCGACTTGTACCCTAGATCAGGCCCCCTTAGGCTGGGATACTCCAGAGATGTACGGGAGGGAAACTCGGGAGGATCCCACCCTTGAGAAGAATAGGGCCAGGGCAGATGCTGGGGAAGAGGGAGTAGATGGGGAGCGTTATGAATGGGTGGGGGATAGGCTGTATCGGATGCCTAAACCTTCCCAGAAAAAGAATACCCCTCCGCAGAATCGGCAGCTGGTGGTGCCTGCGAAATACCGGCAAGAGATTCTGCAGATTGGGCATGATGTACCGTTAGCCAGACATCTAGGGTCCCGCTGCACAGCTCATAGGATCACCCAAAATTTCTTCTGGCCCAATTTTAACCGAAATGTGCGGGTATATTGTAGTATGTGTGACACCTGTCAACGGGTAGGTAAGTGGGGGGGGATCACCCAAAAGCTAGGCTTATGTTGATGCCAATCATTGGGGAACCTTTTTCCCGCGTAGCCGTTGACATTGTGGATCCACTGGCCAGGGCTAGTCCATCAGTAAGAAGTATATTCTCACCATGGTGGACTATGCCACATGTTATCCAGAGGGAGTAGCGCTGTCTAATATAAGGGCAGAGACAGTAGATTCTCTCCGATCAGGGGATCCAGTTTACCACTGTGCTCACCCAGCAGCTGTGGAAGGTTTGCGGCCTTAAACCGCTGCTTAGTTCACCTTATCACCCAAAGACTAACGGTCTCTGCGAGCGCTTTAATTGCACCAT